CCACCAAGAGTTTCTGATTCAGTAGGTCTGGGATGGGTGAGAATTTGGATTTCTCACAATTCCCAGGTGCTACTGGTGCTGCTGGCTCAGGATGGCACCTTGAGAACCACGGCTGCAATTCATCAGTTTTACAATTCTAACCCATTCAGACTCCTACCCCACGTCCCCCCAAAAGCCCAGGAATCGTGTCCGGCTTTGTCTTGTACCCTAGTCCCAGCACATAATAGACCTCTAGTCAGTATTGGAAGGAAAAGAGGAATTCATCAAACCTTCATATTTCAGAGGAGAAAAGCGAGGTCCCTGAGGGGCTGACCATGACTGCTCAGTGCAGACCAGGGACCAGGACCCCAGATTCCTGCAAACATCAGCACAGGGAGCAGTTGGTCAGGCTTTCTGTTACAATGTTGAATTGTCCGCATGAGTGAAAATCCACTGTATGTCTGGGTGCGGACACTTGCAGAAGAGCACCCTTTCCAAATGCAAGTGACAGCAATGAAACAGTCTGACTCTGTGGCAAGGCAAGATACCCAGGAAAAACCTCGGTCTGATTAAAGGAGGCACTTGGGGGAACACAAAAGAGTTTCCTTTTTCCTTTGTGCTCCAAGGCACTCAGTTGACCAAAGCAGAAAGAAGAACTAAGACCGCCAGACAGTCTCGGGATGGCTGTGTTCTTGCTGGTTGCCTCAGACACCCATAAAAGGCAACAGCCTGATCTTACTCTAGCCACCGCAGCACGGAGCACAGAGTCAGGCAGGAAAACGCTTCACAGACAACTTTACTCCTATTTTAGACCCAGACAAATGCCAGCCTAGACTTCCAGTTCCCAGTTCCTCATGTAAGGAACCTGGAAGTTGCCACTCCATCCGAACAACAAGTAAAAGGCTGAACAAACCGAAAAATCAACAACTCTTAGATGTATCAGAGAAGGGAGGTCATGGAGCAAACTCCTGCCCCCAGAATTGGAGAGGCAGACACACAACTTACTGGAGCAAAATCCTGCATGGAAACCAGTGCCAGAGTAGGAAAACCTGAACTGTAATTGACAAATTACTAGAGGCTCAGTAGGGACAAGGCTGAGAGTTAAAAACTCCAGGGATCCCTATTCATAGGGGGCCTCCATGCTTTCGTGAGTTTTATCTCCAGGAGCTCAACCAAGTTCTCACAATAAAAGTCAGAAAAAAATCCCCTTGTGCTTCCAGCAGGCAGAGGAGAAAAGGAACCATTTTGAAATATGCCAGAGTGCTCTGTTCTTCTTAACAAGGTCTGCCGTCAGGAGAAACTATTTCACCACAGCCTAACCTGCTGGGGTTCTATCAGAGCCTGACTCACATGGGGGAAAGGAAATACCCAACTCCAGCCCCCTCTAGCCATCCTGTCCCACCTAAGGGGTGGAGGGAAGGAAACTGAGAATTCATAGTCCAGAAGGCTAGGCTCAATAAAAGCGAGACCTAATCACAGAACTATAGAACACTTCCCTCCCCTGACAACTTGCCACCATATTACTAAAGGACTATTTATGGTAGTTCCTTTAACCAAGTATATCTTGTTGACTATCAAGAAAAAGTTATAAGGCATACTGAAATGTAAAAAACAGTTTGAAGAGACAGAGCAAGCAACAGTACCAGACATCAGGGAAGTTGGAATAATGGGACCGAGAATTTAAAATAGCTATGATTAATATGCTAAGGACTCTAACAGATAAAGTACACAGCACGCAAGAACAGATGGGCAATGTAAGCAGAGAGATCGAAATTCTAAGAAAGAACCAGAAAGAAATGCTGGAGATCAAAAACACTGTAACAGAAATTAAGAATGCCTTTGATGGGACACCACTGATGGAAGAAACTCTGAGCTTGAGGATATATCAACAGAAACTTCCAAAATGGAAAGGCAAAGAGAACAAAAATGGAAAAAATCAGAACAGAATACCTAAGATGTATGGGACAACTACAAAAGGGGTATACATGTAATGGGAATACCAGAAGGAGAAGAAAGAAAGAAAGGAATAGAAGAAATATTTAAAACAATAATGACTGAGAATTTCCCCAAATTAATGTCAGAAATCAAACCACAGATTCAGGAAGCTCAGAGAACACCAAGCAGGATAAACGCCCCCCAAAAACTACACCTAAGTATATCATATTCAAAGTTCAGAAAAATAAAAGATTAAAAAAACCCTGAAAGAAGCCAGAGGGGGAGAAAAGCTTACCAATACAGGAGCAAAGATAAGAATTACAACTGACTTCTCTCCAGAAACCACGCAAGCAAGGAGAGAATAAAATATTTAAAGTGATGAGAGAAAAACTCACCAATCTAGAATTCTATACTCTGAAAAATTATCCTTCAAAAGTGAGGGAGAAATACTTTCTCAGGGAAACAAAAATTGAGAAAAATTGTTGCCAGTAGACTTGCCTTGAAGAAATGTTGAAAGAAGTTAAGAGAGAAAGAAAATAATATAGGTCAAAGTTTGGATCTGCCTAAAGAAGAGAAGAACATTGAAGGAGGAATAAATGAAGTTAACATAAAAACTTATTTTCTGGGGCTGGCCCCGTGGCCGAGTGGTTAAGTTCGTGCACCCCACTGCAGGCGGCCCAGTGTTTCATTGGTTCGAATCCTGGGCGCAGACATGGCACTGCTCATCAAGCCACGCTGAGGCAGCATCCCACATGCCACAACTAGAAGGACCCACAATGAAGAATATGCAACTATGTACTGGGGGGCTTTGGGGAGAAAAAGGAAAAAATAAAATCTTTAAAAAAAAAACTTATTTTCTTCTTGTTCTTTATTGGCCTAACAAAAAACAGTTTCTTGCAAATAATATCATCAACAATGTATTTGATTATGTATGCTTATTATACATCTTATGCATATGTGCATATATATATCTTATATATGCTTTTATATAAGTGAAATAAATGACAGCAATGACACAAGGCACAGATGGGAGTTATTATGACTATTTTGTTATTATTAGGTACTCACACTACTCATGAAATGGTATAACAGACTTGAAAATGGATCTGGATTAGTTGTAAATGTGTATTGTAAACTCTAGGACAACCACTAAAAAAAGTAAAATATATATACATATATATAATTGATATGCAAAGAAAGGAGAGAAAATGGAATCATAGAAAATATTCAATTAAAACCACAAAAGGTAGAAAAATTGTTGAAGACAAAATAGTATTAAAGAGCAAGGGCAAGAAATAGAAAATAGTAACAAATATGGTAGCTACTAATCCAACTATATCAAATAGTCATTTTGAATGCCAGTGGTCTAAATGCACCAATTAAAAGACAGGGATTGTCAAAGTGCATCAAAAAATCAAGACCCAACTATATGTTGTCTACAAGAAAACCTCTTTAAATATGAAGATGTGTAGATTTAAAGTAAATGGATGGCAAAAGATAGACCATACTAACACTAATCAAAAGAAAGCAGGTATAGCTCTGTTAATTTTAAACAGAGCAGACTTCAAAGCAAGGAAACTCATCAGGGATAAAAAAGAGCATTACATAACGATAAAGGGGTTAATTCTCCAAGAAGACATAACAATCTTCAATGTGCATGCACCTAAGAACACAGCATCAAAATAAGTAACCCTAACCCTAACCCTAACTCTAAGTAAAGCAAAAACTGATAGAACTGCAAGGACTGATGGATGCATCCACTATTTTAGTTGGAGACTTCAACACCCGTCTATCAAAAATGAATAGTTCTGGCAAGTAGAAAATGAGTAAGGACATGGGTAAACCCAACACCACCACCAATCAAGTGGATATAATTGACACCTATAGACTAAAGAATAAAACAATTCTAATGAATAAGAAAGCATTGTATCATAGTTTAACTGGTAACGTTTTTCTTTTTAGTGGAATGGAAAATAATAGTGTAGCTTTAATCAATCGCATTGTAGATTCAGTGAAATTCAGTAACTCCTGATTTTGAAATATAGTCTTTTTCAGTATTGATGGCTTAATTTGCTGAAATGGATAATAGATCTGCAAGGATTTGCCCTTTATTAAAAAGCAGCATAAACTAGAAAATCATACTGTACCAGGGTAATTTGTCAAAGGATTAACATTCCTGGTTCTTTGCTGTGGAAATACTATGTTTACCTGTGTTTCTAAGCCTTAAACTGTAACTATTTAGGTTTTTGTCTTCCAACCTTTTACACAGATAATAACCTAGGAAGAGAAGCTAAATTCAACTCAAAAACAAATTCCAAAGGACTTCCTATCCAACAGTTAATTACAATTACAGGGCCTTACAAAGCTGTTTTGGGGTAATGAAAAACCTTCCAGTAAATAGTCTCTGCATTAACTAAGTTCTTAATTTTAACATAATGTAATCTACCAATCTTTTCTTTCTGCTTAGCATTTTTTTGTCCTATTTAAGAGATCTTTGCCTATCCCCAATATCCCCATCTCCTATATTTTCTTCTAGAAGCTTCACAGGTTTTCTTTCCATATTTAGATCTACAAGTCACTGGAAATTTTTCTGCATGAAATGTGACATAGGTGATTAAGTTTCTTTTATTTCTTTAAGGATACACAATTGATTCTGCACTATTTGTTGAAAAGACCATCTTTTCACCATTATCTGCAATGCCAGCTTTGCAACAAACATCCATATACTTACAGGTCTATTTCTGTAAGTACTGGCCTACTTGTCTATCTTTGCATCGGTAACACACTGTCTTATTTACTGTAACTTTATAATAAATTTGATAGCCTTTAGAGTAATTATCGTGTTGTTCAATTTTTTCTACGTATCTTCTATTAATTGTTGTGAAAGTTATGTTAAAATCTTCCACAATGATTTTGGATTTGCTTATTTCTTCTTTGAGCTCTGTCAGTTGTTGTAGATACAGATAGACACATAATTTCTTCGTAAACTCAAATTTTAGATTCTTTTTCTGGAGTCAAATAGGCTCTTCACTGTTCACGAGGTTATTTCTGAGTTGTAAACTTATCTCCTCCTCATGTATGGTAATCCCTATCTTCCCCCATTCAATCTTGGCTGCCACAATCAGACAGAAAGCACGAGAACACTTTTTTCTTGCATCTGTGGTAGAAACCTGAACAGCAGATATTAACTGTTCCAGGTCTGTCAAAAATAGATGCATCTTTATATATTTTTGGAACTATGTTATTGATGCCTCTATATTTAGAATTTTCCTATCTTCTAATTAATTGGCCCTTTCGTTTTAATAAAATGGCCCCTGTTACCTCCACTAATGCTTCTGATTTTAAAGTCTACTTGATTTGATATTATTAGAGCTAAGCAGCTTTCCTTTCATTAGAATTTGCACATACAAACACTTCACCCATACATTTGTATTCAACATTTCTGTATTCTTACATTTAAACTGTGTCTTTGATAACATGTAGTTGCTTACAGCTTAAATTCAGAGGGGATTAAATTTGTATAGCAAACTGGGCTGAGGGCTGTGGCAATCCCAAATCACCTTGATCCAATCAGGAATTAAGAAGATCGAAATCTAGGTCTCAGTCCCTGTGAGGCCGGTCTGTTTCCAGTTTCCCCTTACTCCTGCGTGTTGTTTTTATTTACTGTCCTGCTTTTTCAGTTGAACTCAGGTGGTGGTTTGTCTGAAACAATCTTATTTGCCATTGTAGGGAGTAGAACTAAGGAAATCTTTGTAGTGAAATACTGCACAACGTTTGATATAAATCACCATTCATCTCCCAAGGGAATCATTGGTAAAAAACACATTTTTTCCCTGATGCGTTAATGCAAGAATAATTCACTAATTCTTTATGGCGAAAACAGGGTTGCATCCTGCTTCATGGTCAGCTTCAGGCAAAAACAGTGGTTTCCAACAAGTATATGGATCAGAAGTGTCTTTGGAGTACCCACACACGAGATGGTAAACTCAAAGTGTCAGTATTAAGGAAATGAATTCCCCAGTGAAAAGCCATCTTGGCCTTGCATTTTTGGCATATTCAGCAAGGACATGCAGAAGTATAAAAGACCCATGGGGAACTGTCTCCCTCCTCATTAATCCCATTTTCCCAAAGGTGAAGACAAGAAAATTGCCAATAACTCACAGAATCTTTTAAACTATATTAACTGACAAACACATTTGGACAAAAATAAGCCTTGAGCATCTTTTGAAAAATCAGGTAATAGCAATTCACAGCGTTTTCATGGCCAATTTTTTTGCAAGTTTGGGCAGGTCCTCCTTCCTAGTCTGTCTTATTCTGGAAGCTCCACTGAAAACTGTCCATCATGGGTGACCCTGCTGGTATTTGAAATATGGGTGGCAGAGCTTTCAGCATCACAGCAACATGCAGCTGCCACAGTATAACAGACAGACGGGTAGGCTGGTTCCCCGATCGGGAAATGAACCCAGGCCACCACAGTGAGCACGTCAGATCTTAACTACTAGACCAGCAGAGCTGACTGAGGTAACACATATCCACAGAGAAATGGGGTAAAAACAGCTCCAACTCCATTTCACTCCTGGGAACGAACGGCTGTAACAAGAACAAAATAGGTGATCTTTGAAGTATTGGGGAAGGGGCTGAACTTCTCCCACTAGACAGCTAGGGCTGCTACCTGTGTTAATGCTAACTCGATATCAGAATGCGCTAGCGTTGAACTCAGAGACACGGCCTATGGATACAAATATCTTTTATTTTCTAAAAGAACATTCTCCTACATAACTCTAATACTGTATTGTATCTAAGGAAATCAATAATAACTTCCTAAGACTATCTAATACTCATTCCGTTATTCACTCCACAATTGTCCCAAATGTCTTTTACAGCTATATTTTAAAATTAGCATCCAATCAAGATTCCACATTTTAAACTGTTCTCACATCTCTTTAGTCTATTTTAACCTAGGAAGAAAATGATTCTTCCATGTTTCCTCTGACCCCCCAATGACATTGACTGTTTAAAGGAGTGCAAACCATTTATCCTGTGGAATATACTATGTTTTAAATTTGTCTTATTGTTTTCTTACCAACAGTTTTATTTTAAACTCCTTTATAACATCTTTTTTAAATGTATAAATATCTTATCAGAAATTTTCTCACTTAATATGAAGATATAATAGGGACGAGTGAGCACTTAATGAAAGAAAAAGGAAAACAAGTATTGGCTATTTGGTTTTCCCTGGTAGGCGGGACAGGTGTGGTTCCAGCCAAGAGGTCAATGTCTCGGTAAGGTCACGGGGGTCGGCGTAAGTTGGCAGCACAGTTAACAGAGAATCCACAGAGAGAGATCGTAGGGGAGCTTAAGTCAAGTTCTCAGGAGCTTTGAGGGTTAAACCAAGAGCCAAATTGACTCATCAAGTCCAAGGTTATACTCCACGACAAGGTTAAGACACAGACAGAAGGATTAGAAGCAGAATTGTAATGAAGTCACAAGAGAGAACAGGGTAGAAAGACAACTGCTGGATAGCAGACAACAACACAAGGTTCATTTTTTCAGCCCAAAACTAGGTGGTGTGAATGTGTGAGGCAGCCTGTTATAACAGGCACAGTGCATGTTTGCGTATATTGGAATTTAGTAATTGACATCAATATTTCTTTTACATCTTGAATAGAGTGCCATGATTTCTTTCAATCTAATCCTGAAATGCTCCATTAAAAGAGACTTCATTATAAGGAACTGAAGTTAATGATTAATTTAAAAATGGTCACTTAATGAATCTTTAAAATAACAAGTATCTCATTATTAGATGTTTTTAGATCATCAAAATTACATGATTTATATCAGAAATCAACAGGCAAGAAAGATCCAAAATGTTAAATGTCATGTGAAAGAAATATACTCATTAAATAAACATGAATATAAGTCCCTGGGAGGATTACGGTTGTCAATATTTAATTATAAGCCTTCTTTTAAACCCTTAAGTGAAACATCTAATTAAAGAAATGTTAATGTGGAGCTATCTCTTTTCCCCTAGAAAGGGCCACATCTACTTGCTTCTTCTCCATCCTTTTCTAGTAAGACAAAGCTTGCTAATTATCTGCCTTACTAGGATGAATAAAATATTTGATTTGCTTTAAATATATACAAAATAATTTACAATAAACATATATATAATAAACTAGAAGAGAGTTGACAAAACTAATGCTTTCTTTTAAAGAAGTCATGCCTTTACGATAAAGTCCTCTGCTCTCTGTACTGCAAAATGGACAAAAGTAAGCTTTAAATTTGGTCTCCTCGTCAGGATTAACAGGAACTTTATTCTCAGAAAGATAGTTTTAGATTACTTATTAACATTATTTTTATTTATCAAATTTATTTTTACTGGAAAGAGTATAATTTCTTAGAGTAAATTTGTCCCAGGAAAAATACCACCAATTGGCTTAGAAGTACATTTTAGCCCTCATTACCATCTTAAACAATTCGTTAAAAACACTTGGTTACACATATGTGTGGATGATATACATTGACTGCCTGGATTTGAATCTCACACTTTCCACATATCGCCATGTGCAACTAGACAATTTTTTTCCCTTTATAAGCCTCAATTTATGCATCTGTAAAATGGAAATAATATTCTGACTTTGCAGGTTTGTTTTGGAAATTCATATAATGTCTGTGGAACATGCAGCATTTGGTATCTCGTAGACTTGGAAATATTAGTTGTTATTTCAAATGCCGAGAACCTTGACTTTGCCAAATACTACATATTTGAGCAATGTTCACATCAACCTGCGAGACACGCTTACAAAAAATGCTAAAACTAGTAAGGAAGACCAAGGTCTGACTGATACAGACCTTTTCTTGAGAAGATATCATCTGCTTCTTTAAAATATACTTCATATACTAAAGTTAAATTCTCTAGGACCTATTTTTATGCATTAATTTAGCAATGAAATTACTCTTTTTTTTAGGGGGTGGGGTTCATTTTATTCAATGTACTGTTAATTCAACTGGATTGTGAAAAGTTCTGCATATACATGAATGGTTTCTAAGACTTCACTGCTTGATGTTAGGAATTTGAATGAAATGTTTCATTTTTAAATAAATCCCTATTTTAACCTTCTGTGCACCTAGTGACATTCTCTGAAATATAATTATTAGCATTAAAAGCCTGATATAAATCATCAGTTTCCAAGGTGGGGTTTGTCCTCATCCTCGTTATTGGCATTACAATACATTTAAGATGACAATGACCAGAAGAATATATGTGTATATATGCATAGGAGAACATTTAATTTAGTTCAACTTAGCCTTAATAATCTGTTTATTAAACAACAGTAGGGAAAGTCAGCTTGACCGTTTTTCTTGTCATTGCCAAAATCTATCAGCTTCTTTTCCAAGTTCACAACTGGATATTTAAATCATTTCAAAGGCTTTATTTAGTTTCTGTGCTTTCTTAAGAATGTGTCTTCATTGACTTTTTCTCTCAAGAATGAAGGGGCAAGTTTTGAATGTTTTCAATACGTATTTAGTGGATAGCATTTATTGGTTTATATATAATACCAGTATTCCTAGGCCCAAAAAACATTCAGATAATTTTTGCTACAAAGCAACATTGTTGCTTATGGATTGGAAAATTATTCAAATCCAAAGAGGTACATGATTGGCTGTTGTTGAATGAAACAAATATCTGCACTGCACTGATGAGGGAAAACAAAAAAGAGCATTTTGTGCATGTGAAGGATTTGTGGCAGAGAATTTTTCAGTGTTAACTCATACTCTTCCCTAGTGTTTTCTTCTCCTTTGTCCCTTCCCACATTGAGTAATCCAAGCCTTGTTTGCCTTTTGCTTCAGAGAACAGAGAATGCCATAGGTTTTTTTCCCATTGATTTTTACGAGGTTTTTTTAAGCCTAAACCTACAAGATTGGCATGAATTTTTAGCATAGGAAAAGATCTAGGAAGAAACACCTATCAGGGAAGTTCTTCCCAACCCTCAGAAGGGAAACGGATTCCCTGAAATGGGGAGATTCTGCAGGCTCAGATTTCCTATGCTGAGAAAGAGAATCTCAGGGAGGTGAGGTCAGGGAATAAGCAGGTGAGACTGGAGGGGACCGACAAATCGAAATAGTCCATCCGGGACACTGCACCCTACGGAAGGCGCCCGGCCGGAGGTCGACTGGGGGCTGAAATCTAGCCAGCCCTTCACGTGGTGTGCACCAC